TTGATTGATTGTTTGTTTGTTTGTTTGATTGATTGTTTGATTGATTGATTGTTTGTTTGTTTGTTTGATTGATTGTTTGATTGATTGATTGTTTGTTTGTTTGTTTGATTGATTGTTTGATTGATTGATTGTTTGTTTGTTTGTTTAAACGTAAGTACCACAGAAATGGTAAAAGCAAAGCTCCCAAACGCTCTCTTGTTATAGAAAAAGGCGCAAGTTAAGGATATTGTGCGGTCAGCGAGAGATAAAACTAAATTGGACAAACAAACAGAGTTTTTGACCTCATATCTGAGAGGATTAAATTTAGCAGCGGGAGTGACCCAAATTAGTTTGGTAAAAACAAAACAAAAAATCCTTAAAGACTCAATTTAATACCGTATATCGCTATAACACGTTACCTGTACAAATAAGGTATTTAAAATACGGTTTTCAGTGCAGTGTAAATGCAGCAAAATCCGTACAGTCATTTTGGGATTAGCTATAAAAAATGTATAGCCTGAGCCTAAATTAATTATAATTCTTAATCTGACTATAATTTTCTGGGCATAATTACGTTGCCAGGCCATATTGTCTTTCTGCAGCGGTAAGTGTGCCAGGGGAGCTTTCGCGCTACTCGTTTACCATAACGATTTCAGTACCTGTTGATGGCTAAAAGGCAGCAGAGTGTATAAAAACCTGCTCAAGACAGCACTTACACTCTTCTTTAAGCCCTCGGAGGTTATATTAGAAGGCAAACCTCTCGCTTTGCTTATTCTTGTGCCGTTTTTCTTCATTCTTCTTTACAGACTTCAACTCATTCTGTCCTGAAGAAAGAAAACGAGGATGGTCCTGCAGAGGAATATGAGCAGGATATGATCAGGTGAAGGGAGACACGGGGAATCAAGCGCTCTCACTGCCCTTCCCATCTCATTTAATCAAGCATTCATTTAGAACTGGCAGAGTCCAGTAGTGAGTGTACTGTGTAGGCATAGTCTTACTATGTGAAAGTTTCTCACATGAATGTGCATTTTAACGTCGGCATAAAACACAGCATCTTTTGAAATCTAACATTTTAAAAAATAATTCACATTAGTGTCAGAGGTATTTCGCCCCCCCAATAATTATACATGATAAACAAGAAATAAACATTAAACAATAACCATTAAATATGAATTATAAGCATATATATATATATATATATATGTGTGTGTATTTTATAATATTTATATAATTAACATAAAATATATATAATTAATATTATATATTTATATTCTATTATCTAAAATTATATGTTAAATTATATATATATAAATAAATTGATTTATATGTATAACAATATATAAGAATAATTAAAATGTATCAATCAAAATAGATTTACAATATTGTTTGTTATATAATTGTTAGTGTATTAATATACTAATTATAGAGATGACCGATTAAGATTGGTATATATATTGGTAATAGAATATAAATATATAATAATAATTATATTATAATTTATATATTTTGTTCATGTTAATTATATAAATATTATACAATATATATATATATATATATATATATATATACTTATAATGACTTAAAAATAATTATAATAGTAATTGTTTATAAATATTACAATTCTAATTATTAATTATAAATGCCTAACTAAGATTCGAAAAGCATTACTCTGGTTACCCTGATATTCCACAAGCCACTTTAAATCGGTGTGTTGTTTTGTTTGTTTGTTTGTTTGATGCATAAACTCAATTTCATTGTTTATTTTTAGATGTAAAGGTGATTGTTTATAACACCTTGATGCTGCGGGAACTGAATAAACATTCCGGACATGAGGTAACCATGGTGACGCCAATAGCAACCTGCCGCATTTTCACAGGCAGCTTATAATGGTCATTGTGGGTGTTGCGGATTCTCCTGACCTGCTGAGCAAGTTGTCCATGCATTGCCTTAATCAGATTCAGACTCTCATCTATTCATTCCAAGTCCATGTTCATCGCAGTTGCATATATTATTGCAGTTCCAGTGCAGACTTCTAGCCGTGAGAGCTTAAATGTAATTGAAACCAATGATTATCTTCACTTAGTTTGTAATTCAAATGCATACAAACAGCTTTTGCAGGCAAATTATGTGTGTGTCTACTATGCAGCAACATGTATCAGCCAAATAGATCTATATATATTGATGCTATAAGGGCAAAGTATACCAAAATATTCTGTTTTAATATTTTTCAGCCTCCAGTGTGATATATAAAACAGCATATGGAGTGAAGTGAATTTCTATTTGTTACTCTGGCTGGCTGAGATTCAAAAGACTTAAGAGAGGCAGTGAAACACGAACAACACTGAGTCATCCCGATTCAGCTGAGAATTCTCCAGATGAAAGCAGTTTGCTCAGTCTGAGTTAAAACTATCAAACACATCCTTCTCTTCGGTGTGTCACGAGGAGCCGTGTCTGTGGCTGCATACAGGACCTTGTAGATGGTTTGTTTAGTTTTATTTTTTTCTGGTAAATCTTCAAAGATTAGATTAGATTTGTTTTGAGAATGAGATTTCAGATTAAAAAGATGTTTAATCAAAGAGATTTGTGCATGGATTCTACGCAGCATGCAATCCAACAACGCAGTCTTTCAGACAAAAGTGCACAAGAATATATGTTTAAATATTCACCATCCTTCCATGTTTGAAAACACATTCATGCTGTTTGAAAACACACCTTGAGTTGTTCTAACATATAGTTTCACCCACACAAACATTACAATAAATAAACCATGGATATATAAATAAAGGAATGCATGCATAAACGTATTTATAAATAAAACATGAAAGATAAGAAAATACAAATAAATAAATATTAAAAAGAAAAACAAATAGATAAAACATTGATTGATATTTCACTAAATGCTGTCCTGAACATATTTGAGGTAAATGCCACTTTCGTGATTTAAATTTCTACAAAAGTTTACAGTGGCATCATGTGGTAGAGATATGAATAGCAATAGAAATGTGTCAGTGGAATGAAATAATGAATTATTGCGATCAAGGACCAATAGTAGATTGAAACAGCATGATTGAAATTGTGTTTTAGCATGAATAAAACTATATTGAAAAGTATTCCTTTTAAGTTGAAAATGCCATTTAAAACTGCATATATGTTTTG